AGAATCGGTTTGTTTCGCATCGCTTTCGTCAGAATTAGCGGAACTAAAGCTAGCTTCTCAAGTTGTTGGTTAACTTTCGTCACAAAGAGCCTTCTCTGATGCTTTGCTCGAAACCTCTGACGCCGTGCGGACTTATCTAAAGACGGACTTATCTGCGGACTTTAGGGGACTCGGTAGCCTGTGACGAACACTGAGGGGAAATCACTTTATTGTACCCAACTATATGTTTATATAGGGCTGATGTTTACTTCCATTCTTCATTCCCATCCGACTTCATTCTTCTCCATCTTCTTCTTCTGCGCGGCCTTCCATTTACCTCTAAACTGCACCAGTCCCCCTACATCTCCCTCCAAGTAACAACAGTCACTTGCTTGAAATTTTTTTTATTATAAGTATTACTCTGCCACCGATAGTTGAGGGATATCAACATCTCCCCCAGCTGTGGACCCCTCTATTCCTCAGTCACTCTTTCTATTCCTTCCACGTAGCTTTTCATTTTATCGGTTACTTGACGTGTTCAACTTGATCGCCTTTGCGACAACCTCCTTCGCTATCTGGCTTCTTGTTCCTGTCGTTAACATAGTTTTGTCTTCTGGGACTAGCCCCTCGTTTAACTGATCTGCATGTGTTTTACGGCTTCCTATTCCAAAATAGACGTCATTCATTCGACGACCCAATAGTGATGATTCCTGGGATCCATGTCCCTTTTTTGATAATTTCGGATATAGAGTTGCAGGCCGACTGTTAGACTTCTTTCCTTTCTCCCGTTTTTGTCATAGTCGCCTATCATACGCTGTTCATAAATTTTATTACTTGTCTCATTGTTTCTCGTTTTACGTATACCTAATGTTGTTCGGAGTTCGCTTCCCATTAGGATCTCCGCCGGCGACTTCCCCGTTGCCGGATAGGAGTCGCTCTGTGCTCAAGCAGTAATCCTGCTAAAATGCTTCTGGACGTTTTCCCATCTCGCAGTCCTCTATACCGCCCCTTTTGAAAATCTGCACGAACGTTTCTGCTTCGCCATTTGAGTTCGGGTGATATGGCGAGATTGGGGTCAACGCGATATTCCTTCCTTCGCAAAATTCCTTAAAGACAGCCCTCGCGCTCAAATAGCACATGGTCGTCCTTCCTTGTGCAAGCAGTCCAGTCTCTAAGCTAGAGACTATCACTCTCGCGACTCCACGGCGAGCGAGAGGTCCGCTCCGGTGAAAGTTCTAGTTCCAACGCCCGCCCAGGTGGACATCCTACTTGCTAGATGCCCTCTGACGGAGGGCCGCTCAGTTGTTCTTTGTTGGGACGGCGGGCATTAATCGGAACTGCATGTACTTTTTGCTGACCGCGCTCGTGCCCATAAATAATTCTGCTCTCCTTCATCACATTTTATTCATTGGGAGCACATACAGTCAACTGCAACCCATCTCGCAAGGTAAAACGCGTAAAAATCACGAGTGATGCAATTTTCGTGGTGCAAAAGCTCGACGCACTAAAAGATGCACGCTACCGTAACCCTAAATTCGGACGCCGAGTTTTTGAAATTTTTTTTGTCAAGAGTTTTTCATCCGTGTTTTTTGTTGTTTTTTGTATTCTTTTCTTTGCATGGAATATCTACTGCTGAGACATAGGAACAATCGATTTGGTGAGCCAGGGGTTGCACACGGACCGCAGGGCGGTGTGACTGTCAGGGAGCAATTTTGTTTGTGGTGTTCTTGAGGACTTCTTGCTTTTTTTCTTCTTTGGGGAATTACTTATCAGCTACTGTTTCATAACTGAACAGCAACTATCCATGATACTTTATCGCGGGAACTGTCTTCGTGCAACTTTGCCTTGGTTTTGTGGGCCCTTCCCCTGGTTTTTTCGGGGTCATTACCAAACAGGGTACAGGTTTCACACAACATGGTCAACTGGCCTACATCTTTATCACTTTCTAGATACCATACGTTCCTGCGTGCTAAACTTATCATGCGATTCCTGCCATAATGCTACTATGCAAGCAGCACATTGCAGTTTTTTTCCTGGACTTGGACGGTGATATACCTTTGTTTTCCCGCAGAAGAGACCCGCCATTCATAGATATTGCGGCGCTCTTTACAACGAAGGCTTTTAGCTTCTCTTCCACTTTGGGAGGAGCAACCACTGGGTCTTCTGCTGTCGCTTTCGCTTCTTATTCTCAAAAGGAGGTTCTCTTAAACTTCTTGATCCAGGGCTTCCACCTTGGCCTCGCTGATAGCCGCTTCTGCACTTGGTAATACACGAGGGTTGGGTAACCGCGAAAACCCGCCCGCATTACAAAGCTCCGCCGTTTTCGATACTCTATATCGAATGAGTAAACCATCAGTCGTAATGCCCATCGATGCAGCATCTTTGCTGCTATCGTGGGTAAGTCCATGTTTTGAGCCGAATGTTCTCACCAATGGCTGATGATTTGTTAACAATGTGAACCTCCTACCATACAGGAATTGATCAAACTTCTACGCCACAAACTATACCCAACGCCTCTTCTTCTGTTTATGCACAATTTCTCTCTTCTTTAGTTAAAGACAGACCTGCGCTCAAGTGAGCCATGGTCATCCTTCCTTGTGCAAGTAGTCCAGCCCCTCAACTAAGAGGCTATCCCGTTTTCGCGACTCCATAGCAAGTAGCGAGCGAGGAGGGTGCTACAGCCGCCGAAAGTTCTAGTTCTAACGCCCGCTCAGTTGGACCGCCCACTTGCTAGATGTCCTCTCCACACCTGACGC